CCTAACACTTAGATGACAAATTTCGGTTTCAAATATATACACAAATGAGCACTGAAAATGAATGTATACATATATTTAGAATGTGTTCAAAGTGTGCTAAATACTATTTAATCAAAAACATAAAAACTAAACATGAATGGAAATAATAACCTCTGGTAGGGCCTTGTCGCGTTAATAACCTATATACCATATGATGAATGACTTCTGGTGGGGCATTGTCATGTCGATGACCTCTGTAAGGGCACTGCCATATTGATGACCTCTGGTTCGCGTACCAATTCAAAACAACGTAGAAGAGGTGTTTCGTTTTTCTAAAAGACTTCGTCTCTGTAATTTGCGCGTAGTTTAATTAATATTAACCAGTCACGGACAGGGTCCCCCAATCTGCCCTGGGGAGCTTCGTGCGAGTACTGACCTATGATTGAGAATGAAATCTAGCCTGAGAACAATGTTCTAACTTTCGCGTAAATGAAAATTAGAATTACATACATTTTTTATAGTGTTGCTCGGCATATGGATTGTCTTCAGGTATGACAACTATTTACAGTAATTTGAGATTTTTGGGATACACTCATCTAAAGTTCTTTTTAGATGCTTTCATTGGTTATCCTTACATAATCTTGCCCATAACAACTCTAGTTTTAGCACCTCCATACATGGGAGGAGTACTGTTCACATATTTCACAATTACTAGAGATATACATACAATCAGTACGAGATCGATCAGCAGTTGCTAACATACTTTATATCAAAGCAGGATCTGGAACACACAAGGTATTTTTTTCCGAAAACATCCTGTCTATTGTACGAGCAGGTGTGTTGGATATTTTAGATCAGGAACTCGGGTAGCATTAATATATTTAAAGAAATGTTTGGATGTATTTTAACTACATTCAATTTCAGATTGCATTTGTATGTATTTTGTCATTTTCATTATTTTGTCTAGTTGTGTATGTATTCTTTTTTTTAGAGTTATAGAGAGGATATCTGAACATTCGTAAATAAAATTATAATATACAATAATACAATTTACAAGGATTGTGTACTAGTTGTCATTACACCTCCTTATTACTGCACCCCTACCATATCACCTAGTTCCTATTGCACCCCAAAGCATAGATCTGATTAGTTTTGGTTGAAATATGTGGATATTAACTACTTAATTTGCATAATAATTATCCAATTTTCAGCTTTTCCATGGATATCTCAAGATTCATATCTGTATTATCTCAAGTACTGTCCTATTAAGCACGCCTCAAATTATTTGACAATAGTCTATAATATTGCTTTCTAGGTTTTTATTCGTTAATAAGTTTGGAAACTGCAAAATATTTTTTTTATTTTATATTTTACTAAGTTGAGATATTAATGAGCAATTTAAGCCACACCAAGCATATACAAATAATAAAACCACGGTAAGTTATTTTGATTTTGTGTGGATTGTAGCAGCGCTATTCAAACGCGTTCAGTAGTACGGCGCTGTTTACTTAATGCCGTTCAATGCCCAATCTCTCTGATTGGTCTATCAGTCCTATTAGAATTCACAATTTATGACATTTATTTATTTTCTTTTTTGTCCAATATTGTTTCATGCTCTCATGAACAATATTAAACTGTTTCATGTGTATTTGTTCATCAATGAAACGAACTACAGCCGTAAACCTACTCTAATACTACTACAGTCTACGAATATTTGGGGTTTCTTGGAAAATTCACTTATTTATAATTACGGTAAAGCCAAATGCCAACTAAAACAAGTCCATATAAAGTCATGTAAAAAAAAAGCCCATAAAGGAGTAAGGTATATTGCTGTCGTGGCCGGGCCTGGAATTCATCCAACTGATATATGTGCGTGTAGTCAAGTTCTGGGACAGATACTAGCCACATGGTATGACATTTTAATCAGCTTTAAGTTAAACGTGTCTCCAGAACTATCTATCTTAACAACATAGTTTCATGAAAATGTCGTATGGATAGTATATGTTGTTGTTTTAAGAATACGCTTTATGGAATCCATCTGATAATTTGTCTAATCTATCATGTTTTCAGGGTCAGGAAATTTGATAAACAAGAAGACATATGCTAAATGATGTAAATTAACTGCCATAATTGACCTATGCAGTATATATCAATGTAACAGTTTATAAATGTATTTGACTTTGATTCACATCAAGACAATAAACATTAAGGTTGCAGAGTGCGTCGATTATGATTATTTACTCCTCGTTACATCATTTATTTAACTGTAGAAAAAAGTGTGGAATTCGAAATCAACCTGACGGCCAATCAACGCCACGACCTATGATGGGATCGTTTCCATGTGGCCTTGTGTAATGCTGTTCATCTGTGGTAGCTTGTCCAATTTCTCAGGCGTGGTATGGGTATAAATATAGGTATCTCACTGTGATACGTGAAAAGCCTGGCAGGGTAGTCCAACAAACACTTTGTTTTGCCAAGCTTTCGATGATCCATGTGAGTTTCGATAGAGAAATAGAAGAAAAAAATGGAATTTCCGTAATAGTGACTGACATATTTATGACATAATTAAAATCCAATTACATTAGAAATGTCTTAATAATTTTCTCCACCTCTGAAAACATGGGTAGATCCATTTAATTTAGCATATTCGCTTCTAGTTACGGAGATAATGCGAACAATTTGAAATTTGGCGGCCGTTTTGTTAAAATATGAAAAGTAGTTAATAGGATTAAACAGTCTGATTCCCAGCTTTTACCCCAAAATGTTTCTTAGGCAGGGACTGTTTTCAAAACAGGCGCCAGACTATCACAGTGATTTTCGTTCGTCTGATTTTACGGCTTGACAAAAAGTGTTTTTAGCGAGGCGGCGATCCACGCTCTGGACAAAAAAACAAACAAAACAAATTACATAATCCAGTGACAAGGAAATTTATATCGTGAACATAACCATATTCACTGTTTATTCGACAAGCACACATAATATTGGGTCATTCTGTACATTCAAGCAGACAAACAGAATTCTTGGCGCGCTCGTCGTCGCGATGACCACGGTTACTAACCGTGCGCTAACAAATATCGCGTTTCCGAAGATTATTCTCGGTGTTTCGATACAGCGGCGACTAACTATAGGATGCTAATATATGGATTTTTTTTATTGAAAATGATTTGTAAGCATATATCCTCGTGTTATTATAATTGTCTGAAGGCGAACACAACTCTTATTTCCGTATATATCGAGAAGTAGAACAGTGTGAAAAAAATCGTATTCACAGAAGTGCACATGTTTGTCTTGTTTTTGTTCAAAACAATGCCGATTTAATAAAGAAATAACCGTTTTTTGTTGTTGAAGCGGTGTTTTTCTAAACGAGTTTATTATAATATGAAGTGTAGTTTTCCCTCACTAATTGAAAAGGGGAACATTTGAGAGGCGACAAACTAGATTCGAACCAACAATTTCCAGATGGTCACTGTACTGAATTAATTAAGCAGGCGATTTGTGGGGGATGGTGGTGCGGTATTGAGTTCACTATGATA